TCTGAGAACTCGTTTCCCACGCGTCATTCGATCGTGAAAACCCTTCGATGTAAGTACGAAAAAACAATATTTAATTTTATAATGTAATAAACTAGAGAGGAAACGTAATGGTGCAATCGAGAAGCGTTTATAAAAACTTTTCTGGAACTTGTGTTGATTAGATTACATGAAATAATGATCCTTCGAAAGATGACTCGAATTGCAAAAGCTCCGAATACAAATAGTCAAAGCAATCCGGAACAATGAACAAAAACATTTGGTTCATGGACTAGGATATTTCCTAAATCTAACAAATCGATTTAACCGAACCACTTCACTTAATCGAAGCAAACGAATTGGGCCAAGTGAACTAAAATTCAGTTCACTCGACCAAGCCGTTTCCCGAAACGAACCGCATACAGTAAATCGAATCCGTTCAATAATGAAATTTTAATATGCGGTGTCAATTTTCTTTTTTAACGAATCGTGCTCAGATCGACTCGATTCTTTCGATCGACTTCAGCATCCCCTTAATCTTAGCTGAACGGGTGTGCAGCTTCGCCCCTTCCCTTCTCGTTACAGAGAATTTCTACATCCATAATTAACATTCACTCGTCATCATCAAAGGAGCGGAAAGGAAGAGTCTCCTCCACCCGAGCCTCGATTAAGGTCGATTAACCTCGCCATTGATATGTCTTGGGAATTCGGTGACGGGGGAGTATCGGTACTGACACCGGACGAGGTTATCAGGGATCGGTGCCAATCTCCCTTAGGAATTATTCTTCACCCTCTCCCAGTGGTCGGATATCTAACGGAAATCGAGTGCTTTGCACCTCTTCGACGGATTGCGACGATATAAATAATACATACCGCGCATGTACTCGAATTCCCGCGCCTCGGTGTATGTACATTCGCAAACTTTGCGTATATATACACGACTCCATCGGCTCTTTCTCCCCTGCGGGGACCCGGCTAAATGATGTATGCCTACGTATGCGCATATATCGGGCATACATCGGACATGGAGTGGTATATAAATATATCCAGTCGTTCGCCGCGGGTGTACGTTAGGTCGCTCGCGTAATGGCCGCCGCCATCTTCCGGGCGAAAAATATTGCTATGCCTTAACTCACCTAGGATAATACTGCCACGGTATTTAGCGTTCGCGGTTACGCGTATGTATAGGTATGTACAATACATGCCTCCCTATGTACACAGAGCTCCTGTTCACAGATCGGACGTATCGCGTTTCCCATTCGAAGACCTCGAAGTAGGGCGGGCCGGTCGGGACTGCTGGTGTATCGGATGTACGTCGATCCGATCGTCTATGAATTGGTCTCCTTGGGTGATAGAAGGACGACCGATAGTCGAATCGATGATCCCTCCCTTCCCTGGGATCCCCTGATTTTTTTTAATATTTTTCGGACGGGGCTCTTCGTCTTCCATGGACTTCAGGAGGCTTCGCTCCAGAGGACCCATGGAACGGAAGAGATGGAACTTGAATTTAATCACAGCAGAAAGAACTGGACTTTTCTCCAGGGGGAAGTGGCAAAAGAATGGAATCATAAATATAAAGCTAGTTCATATGGAAATAGGGAAAATCATGCCCTTTGAGAATCGATCGCTGTTGATTTCATGGGATGAACAATGTACTTCGGTAATGTGATGTGCGGCATCCAAATTTCGATTACTGTGTTTTGGGGGGTGTTATCATTGTGCTTGGGATTTCCTTGATGCCAAACGATCTGGCACTCGTTGATATTGATTCTTAACAAGTTTTATGGGGTGGTTCTAGACGTGAGCACTTTTGCACGGATGAAAACTCATATCCGAATGATTTCTTTGGTGCTTGTCTGAAGTCATACGAAGACGTTCCGGAGGCTATCGGTCCAACAATGAGTTTTTGTGTGAATCGATGTTGAGGGTGGAGGCATTTGTCAAAATGACTAAGGTTTGTACGATACCACACAGAGTTTCAGCCCGATTTTTCACCCATGAGTAGAAAATAATGATGAAAATAATGAAATGAAATACGAGCAAAATGCTCACATCTGGACCTGGTTTTATAGAAGTTTACACATTGGCGACTTTTAGCAACATCATACTTCAACGACGTCATAAATGACTCGGAAGAGCTGCTAAATCACGTTGCTAAGCCACAAGAATAAAACCCAGCTAAGCGACAAGTTTGGCCCAATTCAAGGTGATCATCAACAATATTTCTCACAATTTCCTGATTCCCCTCGATTTAAAAGATCAATTATCTTTCACCCTGGCGACTTTTAGCAGTACGATCCAGCAGCGCACCTATCGCACACATTGTTTTGTATGTAATTCCCTATAGCTATACCATTAACGACCTAACCGCGCAATTGCGAGGGCAGATAGTTACATGCAAAGTAATATTCGCTCTGCTAAAAGTCACTACTGTGAAAGCTGTTTTAGTCGTCTTTCATCATGGCGACTTTTAGCAGCACGATCCAGCTACGCACCTATCGTGTACATTATTTTATACGTAATTCCCCATAGCTATACCCATTAACGACTTAGCCGCGCGATCGCAAGGAACAGGGAGTTACATACGAAGTAACATTCGCGCTGCTAAAAGTCAGTACTGTGAAATCCGTCTTACTCATCTTTTACCCTGGCCACTTTTAGCAGCACGATCCAGCGACAGTTTCTCCTGAGTTTAGAATCGCGTTGCTCAAAAGTGCATTCAAAATTCGCCAGCATGGAAGCCGTCTTGAAAGACGGGACTTCTGAGCGAGCAACCCCAAGGTCCAGAGGGAGGGTCTCGTCTGCCGAATCGGCCCTGGCTGCTTCGAGGTCCTCCAACCCTTTAATCCCGAAAAATCTCCGGCGGCCGATCGACCTGGCGAAGTGCGACCCACTGCTAAACTGGAGCATTTAGGTCGGTTTACGTCGCTGGAACGACTTTCGTGGTCCGGCAACCAGTTGAACGTGCATCCGGTTACCAGGGAGCGAACTTCCCCTTTTGGGATCCCGAATCGAGGGGGTCCCAGGGGCGAGCTCCCCTCCGGATTTGCCGATCCTAATTATCCGGCGACACGCTCTTCCCCGGCGGCCTAATTAAGACTCTTCGATCGGGAGAATTAACGCGGCCGGATGCCAACGAGTCGACGAGTCCAAGTCTGCACAATGCCCGGCGAAGTTCGACGTCCGAACTGACGGTGGAGGCTGGAACAATGCCGGATCCCTGGATCAGCCCGATCGAGCGATCCCTCGTCTTCTCCCGCGACTCGGCTGCTGCGCAGATCGATTTTGGGTGTAATCTCGAAAACCCAGGAAATTTCAACTACAGCCCCCGAGTCGAAAATTATCATCCCGGACGAGCATCCTGAAGGCTTTAAGGTGATATCAAAGACTGATATATACTGTTATGCCCTAACGTTATGACTCCTTTTGAATCTTTTACCATTCGCCGCACCCTGGGAACATTGATGGACATCGCTTAACAGCGTTAGTTCTATGTCAGCAAAATTATGTCTGGTAATAAGAATACCCATTGTCTTATCCTTAGCCCTGCTCTCTCGGCTCCGAGGATCGTCAGTCGTAACTGACTGTCTGAATCGAAACGTCGTTATGAACCAATAGTATTCGGCATGAAAATTAATAAAGGATTAATTGTGAAAGTTAGTAGGATAAAATTGTTGTGGTTCCTCAAGAGACAAATACCTCACGGCATAACAATAGACAACAAATGTCAAAATATTTATAAGGCTTTTCTCCAAACTGGGTGCAACAAATTATCTGAAACTTTAACACGTGATTATGGAGGCCCTAAGGAATAACTCGCTGCTCATGAAATTTCTTTTTTCGAAAAAAAAGTTGTACTTATCTCGGACAAGAAACAAAAAAGATATTTTTTTAATCGAAAAATGAAATTTCACGGGTAACGCGTTCTTGCTTAGAGCCTCCATAATTACGTGTTAAAGTTTTAGATAATTTGATGCACCCAGTTTGGAGATAAATTTTATAATATTTTGACATTTTGGGATGCATATACCACAATTTCATATCACCTTAAAGACAAGTAAGAGAAAAATTCCCGGGGAAAAAGTGTCTCTTAAAAACCAAAATTATCCTCTGTTCGAACCGAACAATTGGCCACGGGACGTTGTCAAGAAAAATATAGCCCAGGAAATTTTGCAAAGAATTTGTTTATTGAAATGTTCTAAATCTCCGCCTTCTGACTGCATGCGAGAAATTAAACGTTTTAGGATCGAAGTTTGTATGAGAGGAGAATTTGGAAGTTTCTGGTGAAATAAATAATATCTGACGGCTAACTAATTGCAAATGTCCAAAAGTGTATAGGATTCCGAGGTTCACCGAGACCGATAATTTTGACTCGAGGCGGAAGACGCCGTTCAGCCGTCGATGGAAAACCGAGCGGTATCCGGTCCGGGACTTCCGCGGCGCGGAATAACCGGATCGACCGATACATCCGCTGAAAAATGCCGATGAATCGCAATCGCGATCGAGCGTACCGCTACCGGGCTATCGACATCGAGAGATTTTTCCAACTCTCGCTATAAATTACAGAGCGAGCCTTCATGAGCAATCGATGGCCCGATGGCGGTTCCGGGTGGAGGGAACTTTAGAGCTGACTTGCCCTCGCGATTGCAATTTTCCGAACTTGGTCAGCGACATCGATCGGACGGCCCAACTTAGTCAGAGGTAGTTTTCGAGTCCTCGATAAGTTGGCGCCGAGTCACGTCCGAGATGAGCTCCAGGGCCAGATAGGGTCGCGACCCGCGAGGCCAATCCCGCGACAAATTAGAAGCCCCGAAGCCAAGATTCGAGATAAGACCGACGGAACTCGAAATCACTGAGGAGCCTTACCGATCGACCGGTCAGAGAGCTGCAGAGACGTCCGGGATGGCAAAATCCTGATCGGCACATCTTGGGATTCCAGCACCTCCTCTGGAGTGCACTCTGGACCGCCGGATGCTGCGCGGAGCGACCAACGATAGGAACCTCCGGAGTTCCCAGCGACCGGGCTAGACGCTGATCAGCTTTCGAAACGCCTTCCGAAACTCGGGGTTGAAGACGGTATAGATGACGGGGTTCACGAAGCTGTTCATGTAGCCCAGCCACGAGGTGACGATGAACGCCGTCAACCCCGGCTGGCAATCCCAGTCCAGTTTGGTGCAAATCGCATCCATCACGTTGCAGGAGAAGAAGGGTACCCAGCAAATTAGGAACACTCCTGTAACACGAGGATGCAGATCCTGGAGTGACTCTACCAGACCCTACCCTAGAATGACCATCAAGGAGCATCGGTACGTTGTGAAATGCATTCCAATCGAAACATCATGTCCACCCGGAAGAAAATAATCAGAAACTTCCAGCCTCCATAAATATGCCAATTCCAGACATTTTGAAGTTGTTTTTTCACCTTAAGTACTCCATGAACCATTAAACAAAACAGCCCCGGATGGAAATATCTTCTACACCTTTTCATTCTCTTTTAAGATGAATTTAATTGAGACGCATTCCACGACTTACCGATCCTTTTAGAGTATCTGGCGGAAGGATGCAGAGGAACTGTACAGGGATCCTTACCGAGGACGATGGCGAGGGTTTTGGTGGCCTTACGTTCCTTCTTCGCGGAGCTCTTCTCCCTCTTCTTCTTGCTGGCCTTATTGGCCTTGTAGATGGTCAGCTTGGAGCTGGTGTTGGAGTTCTTCTGGTCCTTCTTCGAGGACGACCCTGACTTGCCGCTGGGAGATCGGCTCAGCTGGAAGGGCAGAAGAGAACTGGCGCTTTTGAGCCTCTTCAGCTCCTGTTTGCCGGCGCTGCTGCCGTTCCTCTTGGCCTGGGAGCCGACGCTGGTCTCGCCCCTGGGTGGCGTGGACGTCGACGTTGAAGACGAGGGCGCCGACGCCACCTTCGGGTTAGGACTCGGACTTGGACTAGAATTTGCCTCCGTATTTTCGTGGACGACCGCGCTGCTGGCCGCGGCGTCGTAACCGGAGTCCTTCCTTACGTTTTGGGTACCCAACTGAGCCTGAGCCACCGCACTGAAACGGCAACTGAAATGTCAAATTTGGAAGCGTCTCTAATCCCAGCGTCTAAGCGGTTCCCAAGCTGTAATTAATTCCCTCCTCCCCGGTTCCTTGCGGAAGACGGATCGGGGAACTTCCATTCGCGTCTAGTAATGAGCAAATGCAAGACCACGGCCAAGAACATTATAGCTCCGGTCGTGGTCTTGTATACTCGAGATCAAACATCTTGCTTCACTGTTGGTTTTGGTCTTGCAAAAAGTTCAACTTTGTACTTTTACTCATCACTAGCCATGAGCACATGCAGGGCTATGATCAAAACCATGGCAGTTTTGGTCATGATCTTGGATTTGCATACTCAAGTCTTGGTTTTGGTCTTGCAGAAAGTGCAACTTTGTACTTTTACTCATCACTAGCTCCTAGTGATGAGCACATGCAGGACTATGATCAACGTGGCAGCTTTGGTCATGGTTTTGGACTTGACATTACGGTCAGTTTTTGGTGTTGGTCCTGCACTTATTGCATGATCAAGACCAAGACTATACGATCAAGACCCATTTTGCTCATCACTGCGCGACACCCAGTGGGCGGTGCCCTCTCTTCAGGAATAGCAATTGTCGCCAGCTAGCTCGGCAAAGTCGAAGTTTGCGGCCCCGGCAAGAAGTAATGTTCTCCTAATTAGAGAAGCCAGCCAATTAAGAGACGGGACTCCGAGTTGACCCGCCCGCTCGATCCCCGCTTCCTGGCAAGCAAGAAAATAACTGTTTTGCTCGCGATCCTGTCGCTCGAGAGCCAAGACAGTATTTCAACCGACGGGAAACGGTCATGCCGGAACTCTGACTTAGCTCGCCGTTAACTCTATTTACACCAATCACTCGGTGCGCGGATTAAAGGCGTACTTTTTATTAAATTCTTAGGGTAAAGGATGATTTGACCCGAGAGCTTTCCGTTCGCATACGAAAATATGCGTTTAGAAAATGTCATTCAAGGTAAAACAAGGTTAACATTTTCGGTTCCAATGAAATGCTCACTCTTGGACTAAAAATCGAAATTATGTTCTCATATAAATGTATTAAAACGGAATCGTGATTTAGCCATCACGTACTTTTTGTTAAATTCTTAGGGTAAACGATGATTTGACCCAAGAGCCTTTCGTACGCATACGAAAATGTGCGTTTGAAATACGTCGTTAAGGTGAAACACGGTTAACATTTTCGGTTCCAATGAAATGCTCACTCTTGGATTAAAAATTGGCATTATAATCGCATATAAACGTGTCAAACCGGAATCGTGATTTAGCCATCACGGCGCTTTCTTCCTGCAGATTTTTACGTCAGCATTATCTCGAATTGCAGCAAATTCCATTACGCGTACATTTTCGGAAACTGAAGCTATATCCATGAAAGTATTTTCCCACCTGACTTGTAATATTCCATTTCTTTGGTATTCTAAATTGTTCGAGCCAGGTCCTGAAACTCTTCATTTTTTATTCCAATCCTCCAAGAAGCGTAAAACATTGAAAACGTGCCCGGATCACGCCATGTTGTTTCTAGTCCATGATAAGTAAATAAATTTTTTCTACATAACGAAATTTCATGACTTTCACGACCTACTTTAGGGCCTCCATATTCACGTGGTAAAATTTGAAACGAATCGGTATACCCAATTTGGAGAATACTTTCACCAACGATTGGACCTCCCAGATATATGTAGACTAATTCTTTCATATCACCTTAGCTCAGAACCATTTATTTTAGGCAAGCTCCACCTCGATGCAGAATTTCAAGCGATGAAGCACTCTCGGCATTAAATCAGTATGCTGTGACCGATTCAAGGTACCGAGCCAACGGAGGAAGATCGGACTTACGCAGCCTCCTCGACGACGGTGGCCAGGAAGAACTCCGTGCTCTTGTCGTTGGAGATGACGACGACCGGGTCGAGGGGCGTCTCGTCCTCGTCCTCGTTGCTTCCGGAAGCGGTGTTCGTGGGCTCTTCGAGGCCTGGAGCCACCAGGGCGGCTGCCCCCAGTGCAGTTTCCGCAAACCTTGCCACAGAATACCCACTGCGTGATCTTAGTCAAGAGTCGTTCACTACTTTCTCGCGGAGGACGATCAGACACCCATTGAACTTACCGAAGGCCGAGGGGGAGGTCTGCCGCGAGGAGGTCAAAAATCGAAAAGCAAGGTCCTCCAAGCCAATCGTCATGTACCTATCGATACCAATTGCGACTTCCATACCGATAAAGCACTTACAAGTGTCTCCCCGAATCCGATTTGCCGAGAAGTCGTTTCGCCTTTGATCGCTCGCTTTTGTCAGGAATTATCTCGAGCAAGGGCAAAACGGCGAGGTATTGTCGCGTTCCTTGCAACAGCCGACAAAGGGGAAACGCCGTCCCTTTCCTCAGGGAACTTCGTCTCAAAATGCATCAATGCATTCCTCGTCGAAGCGAATTCGCCATTGCAGTTCCTCGCGCTCCTCGGAAGAAGTTCCCGAAGTAACTGTCCGCGAAGATTGGACGAGACTCTCGCGACGAGAACCGTTGACTTCTCAACTTTGAAATGCATTCCTTCGGATGCATCGTATTTCCCTTTTTTACTGTTTACACCGACTTTTGTTTCGATTTAGGGCCCGTTCACGTAAAGGGATTTCAAGTAGGAGTTATGGTTGTTGCAGGGGCGCAGCTATGTTGCGTTCATGAACAAACGCGCACTTTGCGCATTGAAATGCGCGTTTGCTTGTGAATGCAACTCAGGATGTAATAGAATTTGTCCACGGGCTTTGCATGTCGCTATCCTCGTTGAAAATGGCGTCGAAAAGTCCTGTACAATTTCTTGTCCACGACTTATAATTTACTTCTAATGATTAATTTGAAAATAACCAAACAAACCAAGTACGTCCATGAACTTCTGCGACCTGCGATGTTTCGCCAAGGCAACTTCCAGCACGCTCCTCGATTCGCATTTCCTCTCTTTCGAGCAGTTTTAATTACTATTAAGGCGACCTGAAAGTGGCTTCAAAGAGATCTCGTTTACGAAACTTTTCTCCGAACTGGGTGTATCGAATCGTTTTAAACTTCACAATGTAAATATAGGAGCCCATAAGGAAGGTCCCAACACTCATGAAACTGAATTTCATTTAAATTTTGTTTACAGACATTCTTAATATTTATTATGAAGTACGAAATTTGCCGGGTGTTGGGACCTTCCTTAAAGCCTCCATAATCACATTATAAAGTGTCAAACGATTCGGTGTACTCAATTCAGGGAAAAGTTTCATAATCGAGACGCCACTTTCGTACCGCCTTAATCCATCGAAATAAGCCAGAAGACGACTGTCAGTGAGCCGTAATTACCCAGGTCCAGATATCAATGTCAGGCTCCATATTCTTCGGGGAATTCCGAGGGAGATCTGTGGGAAATCCGGGGGAAGCCCTCTCGAGGGAATCCCCTGCTAGGCTGAGTCCGAGGTCAAGGTCGGGGAACCCCTGGGGATTCCCTCCGCCGATCCGCGCCGGTCGGCCGGTGCGTTTTCCGCTTCGGCGTCGACTCTCGACCCAGCGGCCGGTGGCGTCGGCGTCGGGGCGCGGCGATTAATTCGAGACGAGGTAGTTAGTTATTCAGGGTGTCGTCCCGCCGGAATTAAAGCTTGCGCATGCGCGAACCAGTCCCCTCGCGGCGTCCCTCGCCCCTCCACCTGGCCTGTTTGCTCACCTGCGAGTGTGAGCGATGTTCTCGATTATGCTTCCGGGTTTTATCATCCCTAAATTGGGCTTGCGGGCGGCCCGCGCCTTTTTCGCCCGGTTTCGCAGCGCCTGCAAACGAGCCCAACTTGAAGCGCCGACTTTTCATCCGGCGAGCGCGTGCCGAACATGGCTGCCATTTTTCAGAACTGTCCCTTTAATTGATGCACCTGAATTTCCTCGATTTACCTCCCTTTTCGGTAGGCACTTTGGATTGTCCCGGGTCGCAGGGGAAACCACAGGGTGGGGAAATGTTCCATACAAAATTTCATCTCAAGAAGTCCAAATGCACCGCCAAAAAGTAGACGTATTGAACATTCGAGATAAAATGATACAACAATGCCGATGATAAAAAAAAAAACTTATCTTTTTGCGAAATTAACTTCATATTATTGGGAATGTAAACGGATGCACGTTTGAAATTGATCTACTTTCTTCGGGTTTCTGAGTTAGACCAACTTCATAGTTATGGGCGCAATTGTTCAAGTTGGTGGAGGTTTTTCATTTTTGATTTTCCGGGAGAATTTTTTCCACTCACTCTAGGGGGAAGAGGCACAGGATGAAGACCTGGAAAAGGGCGGGCTCACCTTGAATATGTTGTAATATAGGAACACCATGATGATGCAGGGTATGTAGAAGCTGGAGAGGCTGGAATAGATAATGAAGTCCGAGTTGTAGAACAGGCAGAGGTCCGGCACCCTGTCGGGGGTGTTGTTCAGCCCCAGGACTATCGGGCTGCCGATCGCTGCCGATATCACCCAAACGAACAGTATCGTCAGCCACACCCTCCTATTGTTCTTGTGCTTGGCGTATTTTATCGGCCGGGTCACCGCGATGTATCTGCAATTCAGATTCAAATTCGAGGAGAGCACCACCCACCGATGGCCGCCCGGCCGATTTATCCCGCAAAATCGACGCCATTGACCAGCACTCGAGCCGTTCGAGTTCGATTCAAGTGCGCGACCAGGTCCCGGATCGACTTTTTATTTTTTCCCGTTTCAATTGCGCCCCGAAAACGCAGCGATATCGTTTCCAGAACCTCCAACCACCCTCGAAATCGCCAGCCTCTAATCCGGCTAACCCCGAGGGGTGAAATTCGAATTTTTTCCCTGAATCCGGAAATATTTTCAGGTTTATACCCGGCCATCCTTTCAGAAATGTCGAAGGAAAAAAAAAACACTGGACGAGGGGGAAGTGAGAACGAAGAGAATCGCGAAGACCCCCCGCAACTTCCGGGACTCCCAGAAATCGCGGCCCCTTTCATCCCGGGCGAGCTCATCGGCTTTCATCTCGGCGAGAACGGACGTTTTTCGACATTTTTATCACGAAATAATAACGATCCTCTTAGAGTCTGCGGACAAAGGAGAGCGCGTTCGTCCTTATTAAACAGCTCGGCAACTTACGTTCCTTTGAAGTAAAATCCGAAACGGCCGGCGCAAAGGAGTCGGTCGTGCGGGGGCGTGGGAGGGCTTTCTCTTTGGGCGGAAATTCGCGGAAATTGTCGCGTCATTAAAATAAGTACTCTTCCTGAAAAAAAGAAGGCGCCTTCTTTGATAAGTTGGCAGTCATCCCCTTCATTTTTTCCCCTTCGAATAAGCGGTAGCGCGGGATGTGCCTCATTCGCCTTGAGGGGGGCTCCAGGGGACGGTATCGCCGGTGAGTGATTTTCTTTTTTTTCTCTCTTTTTTTTTCTGGCGCCGAAGGAGGCCTCGTTAAATTCGCGCTTTTTACCCGGTCGTTCCTCGCCGTTGGCGGTAAATTTTATACACTCGCTGCGACACCACGCGCCCTGTCCCTTTATTCTCGGCACGTAACCTGAAAATCAGCCCCTTTCATCCTGCTCCCCTGCGACCCCCCGCGACGAGTCTTTTCATCGCCCGACAAAAACCGGGCCCGCGTTTCGAAAAGTCCCGCCACGTCGCGAGCTGGGACGTTTTCCCACCCCCGGTCGGGGTGAACGCACCCCGGCGCGATTTATGATCCTCTGAAGGGAAACCACCCCCGAAAAGCGAGGCGAAGAACTCCCATTCGCACCTGAGACCCTTCCCTACCACGTGAACATTTTTTTTTTCTTGAAATCCCGAATTATCATAGTATTTTTAATTTTTAATAATATTAAGGAGTAACGAATAGTGGTGGTAACATTTTTTATCGCTCGGTTTGAGGCTAACTCTTGACTGGGGATTTTTTTGGAAGGCCGGAAAGGGTCGCGACTGATCGAGGTGAACCGGAAGGGTGGAAAAGAGGTATGCCGTGCTCACCTGTCCACGGAAATGGCGACGAGATTGAAAATCGAGCTCGTGCTGCACGTCACGTCCATGGCTATGTAAAAGTCGCAGACGAACCCTGGCAGACTCCAGGCACCGTTCACCTGGAACAAGAACGGAGTCTGAGATTGAATCCCTGAGGTGGTATGAGAAGGCGTCACCTGAACCGGAAGCGACTATTCGGACATCCTGAAAAGAATGCCATCGACTTCGAAGAACGCATTCCGCGTCCTCGTACACAGTCCTTGCTAGGAAATTAGAGATGCGACAAGTTGAATGTTCCAAGTCGCTAAATTCGAGACAATTTCGGCAATTTGTATGGTACCTCGGGTTATCGGTACGAACAAATGGGAATGAAAGGATTAAAACCAGTCACTTCCACCTAGGTGTATTGTCTATTATATGTACACTGAAATTTGCGGGTAGGCTGACATAATGCAACCACGGGGTCTGGTCAGACATAGGCTTAAGGTATGGCAATATTACAACCAGCCCAAACTAGACCTGACCAGATCCGACCGAAATAAGCATATTATTTTTTACAGACGCCTATGCACTTATCCATCGGTATCCACCAGTTCTAATCGCATAAAATAGGGACAAAGGGTTACAACATCTATAAAAAGAAATTTGGTCCAGTTGAATCTGATCCAGTCTGATCAGACCCGGACGAACCTAATCAGCAGTAGCAGAGCCGAAAGGTTATTCCCTGGTAAAATCATGCATTTTAATTATTGAAATAATGTGAAAATCAGCTGGAGACTTCAAGAAGAAATCACTGGAAATCCTAGAAAATCAGCGAGACATTGTCACAATTTTAAGAATGTCATTCCTTGCCGAATTACGTTGATGTTTGTCACATGAAATCAAAGACAATCACTTCTCAAAGGAGGGAATCGTATTCGCTGATGTCCAAGCACCCCAAGCACATCCACAGCCCAGGACCACTTGCACCCTCCCCATCAAACCCGCCACGTTTCTTCGTCGATAACAATGTAAATAAACGAGAGTTTCATTGTTCTGTGAAATAAAAAGTCGACGCAGCTGGTGGGGGTGCAAGTTGTCATAGCCCCATGCCCAGACGAGACCCCAAGACGTGAGACGCAGAGCATCCCCCAGCCGCGATATCTCGTTAAACAGTTCGCGCAAGTTCGCGACAATTTCACCCTCACCCGTGGAATCCTGATCGGATTTTTGCCGGGGGTGGGGGTAATTTCCTTGGCCGTAAGACTTTTACGAGGCGCAGGGGCGAAAGTAGTTACCGAGGACAGCATTAGCCGAAGAAAGCCCGCGCAGGGCGACTTCCGGCGGTGCCGGGGGTGCGGCGCGTCACCCTGGGGGTAGTTCGGAAACTCGATCAGCAGGACTAACCGCGCGTGGGACTAATTCGAGTGCTCGACAAGTACGGGGTGCACGTGGTGCACCGGCTCGGCACGATAGCGTCGTCGGGTGTGCCCTGGTATCCGGGTCAAAGTTCATGAATCAGAGAGCGAGGCTAAGTACGTTAGGGGATGGAGGGAGAGAAAGCCGAAGGAGAAGGAGTCGAAGAGAGAGAGAGAGGGATGCTGTGGTCAACAGCCAGAGTGGAACCGACCTAAAGGGTGGAGATCGAAAAGACGGGGATGGAGCCGGAGAAATGGAACGTCGTTTATTCATCTTGGGATGGCCTCTCTTCCAGATCGAGGGTGGAGGTCGTTTCCGGGAAAAATTATGCATCGCGGGATAATCGAGGATACCGAAGTCTCCCTCGAGTTCGGACCTTATGCCAGAAATTGGATGAAACGCCGTTCCATGCCCTCGCCATGTTCCTCAAAGTTCCTGATAACGAAAGGCGAAACGAGCCCGGATTATCCTCTCGAGTTGGATGCTGGACCAAACGAAACGTGAACCTGTTGATGTATATATTTTCTTTTCTTTTCTGAGAAACTTCTCCTGGCATTGCAGTACATGGAAAAATTAAAAAGGTAAAGTGGGCCGCGTTCTCCTTTTCTTTTTTTCTTATTTTGGTAATTACAACTTTCATACTTGTAAGCGTAACGTTGCTTCTGAGAATATGGGGAAACGTTTCCGTTGGCATCAGTGCATCGTAACAGCTGTATAACCGTTTCATAACGTTTCTAATATGTAATGTAACACATATGTAACGTGTAAGTGAAATTCGGATCACTATTTCCTACGCAGGTATGTAACCCTGTTATGAAACGAATAATGAAACATATACATACCACATCGGTAAGAGGTTATGTGTTATGTTAATGTTATGTAACCGCAATGCTGACAAGTCCGTAATGTTACCTGACGGTAATCATTCTATATTATGTGATATGGATGTATCTTTTAAATAACTTTTGAGGGGCAAAAGTTTAAACTATTTCCTACGCAACTATGTAATCCTTTTATGAAACGAATAATGAAACATATACATAACACATCGATAACAAGTTATATGTTATGCCAGTGTTATGTAACCGCAATGCTGCCAAGTTCGTAATGTTACCTGACGGTAATCATTCTACATTATGTGATATGGATGTATCTTTTAAATAACTTTCGTTGCATATCGTGTTACTCCAGGGTCACGTAACTGTAACATAGCGTGCTTGAGGGGTAGAAGTTTAAACTCGAGTTTCGGCCACGCAGCGAATGTTATTTACCGGAAGCCGAGACCACACGGTGGTTGAAATTTTCCACTTTGTCCTCGAGAAGTTCCCGAAGAAGGGGGAGAAAAGTGCCCCCTTCCTCTTCCGGCGAACGAAACGGCGATATTATGCCAAGGGATTCGTACAGAGCACGCGCACGCGAGTACATTCGATACACGAAGGAACCTTTGCATTTCCGACACGGGGTTTCCGCGGAGGAATTCCGCAACTGGGAGCATTCTCCGTGCGCCTCGTGCATTACGACCCTGAAACTTTAACCGGGCACGAGGTTAAACGAGTTTGCCGGGCCACGGAAAGAAATTTCCTCACGGTCGGCACATTCGTGCCTGGGCCTCTTAACGTCCCGGTTTATGCACATTCCGGCCCCTGAATAAAAAATAATTGCAGCCACCAGAGGGATGGACGACCCCCGAAACTCTGGTGGAGGAGCCCTCGATTTTCCCGCTGATCTAGAGCACCCCATAAAACGTGCGTAAAGGGAAGAGAGATATTCGAGGAACAGGGAGGCACGCTGATATATCCTTCGGTCGATAAGCGGCGTTTCGCTTTCCATCCTTCCGAAGGGCGAGTGAAGTTTGCAATGGACCCTGAAAGTTGAGGCCGACACGAGATCATACGTGCTACCTGGCGAAAGTACCCGTAAAATAAAAGTGGGGGAATTACGAGGGCGTAGGTTATTTCAATAAAGCTCGGGCTCGTTAATTCTTCATTCCAAGCGATACCGATGACGATAAATTCCCAGGTTCGGCGGGAACTCACCACCCTCTTTTTGCTAGGGGGAAATTTCGTCGAGGGCTGTCGCCCTGAAGAATTAAGGGGTGGCTCGATGGCTACCGGGGTGAACTCGAATCGACGAGCTTCCGTGCTTCGAGACCGAAATACGTAATCATAATGGCGGCGCCGATAACGCTTGCCGAGGGCGAGCGTGAATTAAATTCGCATCGGGGTGACTTCTCGTAATTCGGGGGGGCCAAATCGATTCGAAATTGATGTAATCACCGAAGTTAAGCGCCGTGGAAGTCAGTCCATGGGGCGACACCCTGAACACCAGCCCGAAGAAGACCCCGAAGAAGACCAGGGGACCACCCCCGATGTCGTGAACCGTATCTCGGTAGGAACACTTTTTTTTTAGCAAGTTTTCGAAATTACCAGAGTTTTGGAACAGGAAAAAAGAGGGGGGGGAGGATGCAGGAGAGAATGAGAGGAATTGTTATGAGCAAATGTAAGACCAGGACCACGTAGTCTTGATCTCGATCTTGGTCTTGCAGAAAGTGTAAGATGGACTCTGATTTTATTAATTGTTAGGCAGAGAGAAACGTGGTTTTTCTAATAGCAAAGTTCCTGGATGTGGTAACGCTTATGAATAATTTTCTTTTAATTTCATCTTGGTTAGAGGGTCGTTATCCAGCTCGATCTAGGTCTTCATCCTGTATGCTCAAGTGTTAATCTCAATTTTGCATGCTCAATTCTTGATCTAGGTCTTGCAGAGTGTGCAAGACTAATTTTGTTCATTGCTAGGCAGAGAGGGAAACGTGGTTTGCTTAATGGCAAATTTCCTCGATGTGATAATGCTTACGAATAATTTTCTTTTAATTGCATCCTTATCAGAGAGTAGTGATCCTGCATGCTCAAATTTCGATCTTGGTCTTGCATGCTGAAGTCTTAATGCAGTGCAGGACCTGCAAGACTGATTTTGTTCATTGCTAACCAGAGAGGGAAACGTGGTTTGCCTAATGGCAAATTTCCCCGACGTGATAATGCTTAAGAATAATTTTCTTTTAATTTCACTCTCGTCTGAGAATCGTCATCCGGCTCGATCTAAATCTTGATCCTGCATGCTCAAGTTTCGATCTTGGACTGCATGTTCAAGCTTTGATTATGGCCTTGCAGAATGTGCAAGACCGATTTTGTTCATTGCCAAGCAGAGAGAGGAACATGATTTTCCGAATCGCAAAGTAACTCTATGTGATAACGCTTATGAATAATTTTCTTTTAATTTCATCCTCGTCAGAGAGTCGTCATCCGGCTCATTCGGTGTCAGCGGTGCGATTCCGTCATTACCGTACACCGAAAGCAATTACGTCAAATGACCGTCCGTGTACATTTTACGATGCGCACTGCGCGGACTTCGAAACGGCCGACAGTTTACACCGTAATTTGCACCGCCATTTTCTCCGCACTTAGCCGGGACATTTTTGACACCCTGCTCCACATTTTTACATACCGCCGCGGGTCTCCTTGTACAAAGAGGTGGTTATCCATTTTTTCAGAACCAAGAAAGCGAGGATCGACTCATTTCCACGGGTGCCGTTTGCAAGAACCAAATTCGAGATAAAGAAAATGGTAAAATTCATTGGCCACGAACTTCTAGTTGATTACATCAATTACTGCGGTACATCGTCCAAAATATTCAAAATGTTTGCCAAAGTTACCCAAAATATTCG